AGTCTTTCTGCTGACAGTGTGAGAGTGACAATTGGCCAGGTTTTATTCCCTTGATGTAAGAAGCCATGATGAAATGCAGACCAGTCAGATATGATTCCACTAAAAAAAAAATCATTCTTTATGGATCATCTTCATAAAGTTTTCTTACGTCTGTCCAGAAGGTTCAGGTTTGAAAGCACTGGGAAGCAATACATGGTGATTTTTTATTGTTTGTCCAATATGTGAAGTATGCAATATGTTTTCGATGTGAAGATAATGACACATACAATTGAGGTTTAGTGTCCATTTATTTTTCTCTTTTTATGTAATATGATTTTTAAAAATATTTCTCTCTTATGAGAAAGGGTGTAAGATAGAAATGCACAGGTCATTCTAAAGCAAAAGTAAGGAACAGATGTTTACACCTATTTGTTAACTGAACTAATGGCCATAAGCATTCAAAAACCGATTGGCCTATTCAAATAAATAGTATTAAATTAAGGAAAGAAATCCTGTTCTGATTCTGTTATTCACCTGAATGTGTTTCTTGTCAAAATGGCAGAAGATTTCATTTCTTTCTCTCTATGGCCTTAGCCAGATCACAGTACTGATATAAGACATTTGTTTTTAATAACTTGGTAAAAGTTAATGGAGTATATAATAGACTCTAGCTGGTTTGACTTGAACAGTTCCCATTCACTTGGGGATAGGACATTTGATTTGAACAGAAACTAAAGAGGAATTGTGTTGAGGTGAGATCCAGTGACTTCTCTTCAGCCATACTCTCACCAACGTTCCCTGCTCCAGCTTTTGGCTCAGGTGGCAGCAATCCCTGAAAACATCAGAGAGAAAGAGATGTGGTGACATTTCAAATTTCTGTTTGTCGTATTTTACCGTTTGTGCACTTTACTTTTTTCCAGAATGGTATCCATAGCTTCTTCCCTAAGGGTTAGCCACAGAGGGCTCTAAACCATTTTAATTCTCTACTTACAATCTCTCAGGTGCAGTCTAATATATACTTTACATTGCAACATGCCTCATTTTGGCCTCTTTGACAGAGCAGCTTAAGGACGTTTGTTGAGTAAGATATATTGTTCTTCCTGTGACCATTCATTCTGTCCTCCCTCACACCCCACCACCTAAGTACCTCCTTGCCACATGCAGGTTTCTCAGCAAAGGCCATTCCCTAGGTCTTCTGGATTATCCTCTCTCCTCCAGCAAATGATCCTGTGCCCTTGTTTCTAGGCTCTGTTCCATGTCTTCATGGCAGCAATAGGTCTAATCACATAGGGGAGCCTTGGCTAATATGAAAGCAAACTGATAGTTTCCTATCCCAGGTGATCTAGTATATTTAATGCCTTGACTCAGTAAAAAGCACATGTCTCAGCCCCTGTAAGATGTATGCTGAGAAATTAGTGCTGGTGGGAAAGGTATTTTTCTATCCTGTCTGCCTAATTAGCTTCTACAAATATTACTCAATAAAGAGAGATTAGAATGATGCAAGCTGACCCCCATGGTGAAGACTGAGATATTTTATGCTGTTAGATAAGAAGATAGTGCTAAAGGTTGTTTGATTGTCAATGTTATTGCACCATTTTCTCCTATTTTCCTTCTTCAAAAACTTTTACACATTTAAGAATATGAAACTAGTTGAGAACATATGATTTGTTATTATTTTTGTTAGAGTAAAAATAAAAGACGTAAATGCAGGGATTGTATTGAACTGCATAACTTACAATCATCTTTTTCCTTTATAAAAATAGCAATAGATTTAGCTTTTATATAGCATATAATGAAATCTGTTAATTGCTAAGTTTTACTGTTAATTTTTTTTAGTTCCTACTTCTTCTATACATACCTACATACATTCTCACATTAAAAAAATATCATAGAACAAGCAGGATTCAGGAAATCAGTACTACTTTCCAGAAACAAATTTCTACTACAGAAAACTATTCCTCAGTCTCCCTCTCCTTTTTTACCCCACCCAGTTCACTTAAAACCCTCTTTGGTGCTGGGTAAAGTCATTAGCAGGCTTTCTACTAATTCATAGATAACCGAAAGCACTCACAAAAAAGTTCATCTCCAGGCAATTGTTTCTGTAATTCAAACGTTAGGTCCCAACCCAGACCTGTTCTAAATGGGAAACCTCTAGTGGGAAAGCAGGGGTTGGACAAGGTTGAGTCTTTTTTTGCCCTTCTTAGTCTTCAGTACTTTCTTTCTCCTCTGGGATTGGCAGGATGGCCGATGGGATGTGATTCTCCTGGAAATCGCGGAAGAGCTGGCTTAAGCACAAGCACTGTTTGCTCTCTGGTGTTTCATACCCGTTAGATCCCACTGACCAAAGGAAGTCACATGGAAAAACCCAGTATCAGTGGGGCAGAGGATCTTCCCATGGAAGTGAGTGGGAGAGAGTGAACATTTCTAAGCAATAATTCTACTTACCAACACTGGATAGCTCCTCCTCCTTCAGCCTGAACCTGAGAATGAAGGTTCATGGAGCAGAACTGAGCTAGGAGCCAGCCTACCTGGCCTGTAGCTTAAAACTCAACTGTCCAGCTGACCCCAAGCTGACCTCTAGCCAGCCTGCAAATCTCTGATTTTGTATACTACTGACTTTGTAGTTGTTTCTTATGGAACAATACGTGTCTGATAATGGCAAGATCCATGGTCACCCCAGTGCAACTCATTCTCATGTGATCCGTATCTAGTGCACAGGAAACATGCACCTTTGCCTATCTGTGCTCCTGGAGCTACATCCCAAACACAGCCCTCTGTTCTGTGGACATAAACTGGTTCAGCCAGTCTTGGAATCTTTAGAATTATTCAGATGCCAATCTGTCCTTTGAACTTCTGGGTCACCTATCAAGCTTTTTGAGTGGTCTCCTGAAGCCATCCTCAAAGTAGGATTGAGAAGGGAAAAAATTTCCTACCATTCCCCATTTTGGGTGCTTATGGTTCTTGGGGCTCAGATAAAGCGGGTACTAAGGGTCACAGTTCTGATATCAATCACTCTCTTTATACCTCTGTGACTGCCTTTGTAATGTGGGATTATTTGCTGCTTATGGCCTTCAGGTCTTAGAGCTGATAGAAAAAGATTCCCATTTCCTACCCTGTAACACACAGAAAAGAAACACATGTGCATATATAGTCATTATCTTAGTTGGCTGGCTTTTCACTAAATATATTATGAACTTTTTTATCATTAAAAAATGCTACTACAACATCATTTTTAACTAATATATAATATTTCATTATGTGAGGAAAAAGTACTCTATTGCATACTTGGGTCATTTATTATTTTTTTCTATTATAATCTACAATGTAATGAATATGTCACAGTGTAACTTCACAGAATTTCTTAGTGCCATGCGCCTGGTAGACTAAAGCCTTAGTTCTTATAATCTCATCCATTCACTGCCATTTACTTTATTCATTACAGCTTTGGTACTTAAAATTTCCCACATCTGTTCTTCTGTATGTAAAGATTATGATTTTAACTTTTTTTGAATATTTGATATCACTGATGGTAAAACTTATTTTAGACTCTTACCAAAAGTCTAATTTTTCTTACATCAGTCCAAGTGAAAGCAAATTGAAAACAATAAAAGAGTAAATTTACTATATTTTATTGAAACAATAACTTTTGCAGATATATCCATTAATCAATGTCCAGTGGGCATTCAAAATTGTTCTTGGTTGCCGAGGAGAACAAAGAATTGTATGATACATTCTACAGTCCCAAAGAACTAAATTCTTGGGCAACAATCTGGACATATACAAAAATAAATAAATAATAAGGAAACTATACAGGGGATATATGATCAAAAGTTATACTGTGGGATATTAGCATTAAGTTCATTTAGATTAACGTGGTAGTTGGGATATCTTGACATATAAGAAAGAGTGTGACATATACGATATCATGGCATATAAGAAAGAAAGTGATTTATAATCTAGAGATTTGATCATAGCTTTGCTACTTATAAAACAATAATCTTGAGAAAGGATCTTCTTAGGTTCAAGATTTCTGTTATAAAAAGGGGGCTAATAAGGCCATCCTCTTGACTATTGTAAGAGTATTGTAAGAATGTGAGACAATGTGCTTCAAAGTGTAAGATCAAAATACAATGAGCAGTTAACAATTATTTTTAATCAGAGTCAAACAACCGCATTTGTCCTTTAAGAAATAACCAAATTGCTATCCAATAATATTTAAATGGTGTAATTTTCTCAAAGCAATGTGTACTTGGTAGTCTTGGAAATATTAAGAAATATCTTACTCACTAGAACTGATTTTTTGTTCAGTATATTTTATAAGTCATATGCTGTTGTGATTTGGACATTTTTTTTCAAGGTGAGTATATATAAAAAAACAAAGTTTATTTTTTGCAGAAATAATTTTCACAGTATTTTATGAGTGTAAAAAAATTTGTCATAATATTCTGAGTTCATCACATAAAAATAAATCACCCCATCTTACTGGGTACCCGTGTGCACCCATGTCATTAGGTTTCAATCTATTTACAAGTTAGATGTATAGAAACAATGGAAACCATGACATGCTCCTAAATGTATGCAGAGATATTGACCTCAGGTTGTCATATAATACACATGAAATTGCTTACAGTACTCCCTGTGTTAGCCTGGATAAGTCCATACTACTTCTATAATAAATTACAAACTTTTAATTTTAGCACTTTGAAAAATTTTACATAATTATAAAACTGAGTTTCACTAGACCATCATATTAGAGAATCCTTTCTTCTTTCAAGTGCTGAGAATGATGCCAAAAAATTGGGTTAGCAAACTTGTCTTCACAAAGCTAAAAATTTCAGGCTCATTAATCATGCTGTGTTGTTTTGTGTTTTGTTTTATTTTGTTTTTAAGACAAACAGCATTAAATAGGGTTATTATTATAAAGACCCTTAATCAAATAGGGTTTTTGGTTTATTTCTAATATGTTTGTTATGCTATTTAGCAGGGATTTTTTTTTAAATTTTAATGTTTATTTATTTTTTTTTGAGTTTAAATGCATTTTATTTTTAAACAACCTACATGACATGTTTTCTGAAAAACAATGCCTCCGCTCCAAATAAATCAAGGTCAAAGTAAATGAGCTCAAGATGACATCAGTCCCACTTGTCTAAGTCCTGGTGTCGTGTGGATGAGCAGCAGCCAGTCATGACAACAGGTGATACATCCAAAGTTAACAGCCAAATTCGTTAACATTTTTCCATTTCTAAACCATCCTTAAAGAAGATCATATATGGGGTCACACCATCCTCTCGGTAGTCCAGCAGGGCAACCATGCCTTCCGGATTCATGTTTTCACCAATAAAGAACTGGTAGTTTTTGAAATTGGCAAGGATGTGCTTGATTTGTTCTGCAGCCCCAGTCATAAAGGGTTTTACTCTTTCTGGCCTCTGTTCTTCAAGTTTGCCTTTGATTGATTTCATATAATCTTTGATGTACTTCTTTTAGGCTTCCTTTGTGAAGCTCGTTTCCTGCAAGTGATGGTTCATGACAATATCCACACCCGTGATTACTGTGCTCTCGGTACCTTCGCCCTCAGGCCCTTCAGCGGAGGCATTTCCACCAATGAGCGATTCATCAATGTTACCCTCTGTCTTACTGACCATCTTCCCCTCCACCTCCAGGCACAGTCCGTCCGCGATCTCCCGGATCTTGTAGATGTCGGAGAACATCTCATCATGGCTGATGAGGTCCCGGTAGATGATCATGACGGCGGCCGGAGAGAGACGACGGTGGCGCTAGCTTAGCAGGAGCCGGGAGCTCTGAGCGAGCCCGGTGCAGCCGGAGCGGCACTCGGGGGGGAGGGGGGAGCGGGCGGAAAAGTAATGTTTATTATTTTTGAGACAGAGAGCAAGCAGGGGAGGAGCAGAGAGAGAGGGAGACCCAGAATCAGAAGCAGGCTCCAGGCTCTGAGCTGCCAGCACAGAGCCTGATGCAGGGCTCGAACTCACAGACCGCAAGGTCATGACCTGAGCTGAAGTCGGCCACTTAACTGACTGAGCCATCCAGGCACCCCTATTTAGCAGGAATTTTTAACCACTAGAGGGGAAGGTTGCCATTTTGGTCATTTTCAGACAGTTCTTTAGACAACAAGAGCATGAAGGAAATTCATTTTAATGCTATTTATGACACTTCATTGCCCATTAAATTCCATACAGTCTCAAATTATGAGACTTAAAATGTCCAGTTACATCCAACCTGAAGCCAACACACTGGGGCTTATGAAAATTTTGTTATTCTGTAAACTTTTAATCTCCTCATCTCTTTGTACACTGACCTTTTACAAAACACTGATACGATAAAAATGCAGTTGACTCTAATCCACCAATTACCTCCCTCAATGCTAAGGTGACCTATTGTGTTCATGGTTTGTTAACTTAGGGGGTTAGGAAATGATGTGGACTCCTACTCTTTTGGACTAATCCTGTGTGCAAATTTTTGTGTAAATAGAGCAGTCAATTAAGCACTCTTCATGTATATGCGAGACGTGATAGAGTGTGGAAATACATGTCTGACTTTAAAATAAATTTCAATAAGTTCAGAGGAAAGATGAAAATGATTTTAAATTTCAAAAAGAAAGATGATTGAATAAAGATTTTCCAAATGTGGAACTAGAGGGAAACGAAGGCAGGCCTGGTATTTGGGGCTAGATATAAAAAAATATAAGAAAAGTGAGCAGTGGCACATTTGCTTGCTTAAATCATTTATCTGTTGAAGAGAATAAGCTAGGAAATTTATTGATAATAGAGAAATGAAGCCAAGTTATTGACTAGAAGCTAAATGTGCACATAATTGCTCTAAATGAGTTTTACTTTTCTGGACTAGGTTAATTACATCCTGAAAGAATTTGTAGATGAAAATCACTGAAAGATTTAGAAAAAATTGTGGAGCAGAAAATAAGTGATGGAAGATTACCAACAACTGCTATCCTTATTTTTAAGGAATGCAAGAAAATGATTGCTATGAACTTTAAATTAGTGAAAATGACAATAATTGTAGAAAATTTCCAGAATGAATCATTATAAGGTTGGATTATGTGTGTTTAGTACAGGGAACAAGTGTAAATTCATATACTGTACATTGTAGCAGATATTACAGGTCGGCTTATGATTAATATTTCTTACTACCTAATTTCATTTTTTATTATTATTTATTAATTTTTTTACTTTTTTTATTTATTTCTGAGAGAGAGAGAGAGAGAGAGACGGAGAGAGCATGAACAGGGGAAGGTCAGACAGAGAGGGAGATACAAAATCTGAAACAGGCTCGAGGCTCTGAGCCGTCAGCACAGAGCCCGACGCGGGGCTTGAACTCACGAATTGTGAGATCATGACCTGAGCGAAGTCAGACGCCCAACCGATTGAACCACCCGGCCGCCCCTCTACCTAATTTCTTATTGTTTTACTTAACAGAGGCTTAGAAGCAAAATATTTTATTTTTAACCTCTTTTGCAGGTAGGAGTGGACATCTGACATATTTCTGACCAATGAGAGACAAGTAAAATTTGTTGCTACTGCTTTTATAGCCCTTCATCTTCCTTACTTCTTACTCTTGGGAGCAAAATGTGATTCTTGGAGGTATAGCATCTGTCTTTGGCCATGAGATTATAAATCAACAGACTAAGTATGCATGTAATATAACAGGTCAATACTTAACAGTAATAAAACTCTGGGACTTAGTTCCAGGTGCTATAGACAAATGTGTATGAGATAAAGAGAAATGACTTGAAACCAGTACATCTGAAAAATACATAATTTTAGTTGCTAGTAATCTTAGTTCAAACCAACACATTATATGATATCACCTCCAAAATTCTAGTCCATGATTTATGTACGCTTAATATAGTTGTGTTATATTCTACAATTATCTGACCATATCTAGACCAAGCTAAAGGGAACTGGAAAATGTCATGATGGCATGAAACAATGACTAAAGATGATTAGTTTGTAGGAGAGAAGATATAGGGAGAATGTGGGTGCAAACTTTAAATATTAAAAGGTCACAAGTCAGAAGAAGACATAGACTTAACTTTAATGTCTCCAAAGTACAGAACTAGGACTGGGGCTAAAATTCAGGAGATATTTTACTGTAGTTGAGAACAAAATGGAATATGGTAATGAGACAGGTAAGTAGTTTCTGATTTCTTGAAGTTTTCTAGTAGATGTTGGATGTCCACTTGAAAAGACTACAAGAATATTGATACACCTAATAGGATTTATAACATAAAGATTTTCAGATCCTAATCAATTTTTGTTATATGCCTTGATGCCTTTTAACATTAATCTCAGCATTCTAAAAAGTAATACTTGGGGCGCCTGGGTGGCTTAGTCGGTTAAGCGTCCGACTTTCACTTAGGTCATGATCTCGCGGTTCGTGGGTTCGAGCCCCGCGTCGGGCTCTGTGCTGACAGCCAGCTCAGAGCCTGGAGCCTATTTCAGAGTCTGTATCTCCCTCTCTCTCTGACCCTCCCCTGCTCACACTGTCTCTCTCTCTCTCTCCTAGAAATAAATAAAAACATTAAAAACTTAGAAAAAATAAATAAAAAGTAATACTTGGTCTTGCAGATGTTTAATCACCTTTGTAGATGTGGTAAAGATTCTATCAGCCAGTAAGTCTACTTTAATAAATACATATTTATTTTAGCTTAAAACTCAGGATTACATGACAGGTTCTTCATTCATTTATACCTATCTTTATGGTTTACCATCATCCAAATAAAAAGTCATATATTTAAAGGTATTGGTGAACAAGTTAATTGTCTGGATTGCCAAATTCAGTTTGTTCTGTGATTTTGTCTTAAAAGTCAAGACCATGGCATCGTTCCTGAACTGGATGCAGTTTACACTCAATAGAAAAGCAAAAGGAAACACATTTGGCATCAATCTGCACCTTGAATTGTTAATCAGTGGTTGTAACAGTGCATTTAGTTCAGAAAGGAGACAGGTTAGGAGAGAGTCTGGAAAACTTCACTGGATCGAATCTTTATTTCCATTCCACCTTCATTCTGATGGAAAAGAGTGAAAAGCTAAAGGCTGCACTTCCCAGACTGCATTTTCATTGTATCTGGGATTCTGGAAGCAAAGTATTCTTACCAATTAGCTATAATTGTGTGAATATTAGAATGTGGAAATCATGCACAGGCCATTTTTTAACCTACATTTAGCTGTTGTCAGTGGCAGGTATGGTTGTAGAATCAGTGGGTTTCCTGAGCAGTCTTCCAGGGCCTCTGCTACAGACTCTTGTGAGCACCATGGTTGGGGCATGGAAGCAGCTAGTGATTCAGCAAAGCTCCAGAGGCATCCTAATGGAAGTAACTCCATACTTGTATGGGTTATTCCTGGAGGCCCGGGCTTTGATCTGCTGCTACAGCCTTTCTCATATGTTGAAAGCCCTTAATTCTTTTATAATCCTCTAAAATATATGAAATGCTTTCTACACTAGACTATCCATGATAGTTATTCATAACTAAATGAGTTATAAATGACTAGTGCATCCTGGCGCATGATAAGTTCTTCAGCTATACCAACATCCATATCCTAAGCACATCATGCCACATCATCTTGTCCACAGTGCACACATTCCTCCAAGACTAGAATACGCTAATGCAAGTTCTTCACCTGACTAACTTCATGCCATCTTTTAAGTCTTGGCTAAAACTACTCAATACAGACTCAGATTTGATCTTGTCTCTTACTTCATACTCCTGATTTCTGGGTGTCTCCTAGAATCTGTGCTGCCTTCTTCTGGCCTCTACCATACCACATATGTCTCACTGCACAAAGGCCTGTTTTTGTTACTATGCTCTGAGGGTTTTTGAGTGCCAATGCCAGATCTTTTTAACTCTGGGCCTACATGGTATCAGACAAATTGAAAGCATTTGATAATGTTTATTACATGAGTTAATGTATAATTAATGCACAACTGAGTAGAGCATAAAAAGCCACAATAATATTCATGAGTTTGGAAGCGAGGAACTCCTTTACCCATTTAACATTGATTTTTTTTTTTCAGTCTGGAGAAAATTCATGTTAAAATAGGAATGAAGGGTCATAATGTTTGCAATTCCTTTCATATGATTCAGAATTTTTTTTTGGAAAGGAAATGCAGACTATCTTTCTTAAATACTTTATCATATTTGCTTCATATATATATGAACATTTACTTTTCTGTATTATTGCCTTTGGTAGATAATGGAACCTATTTAGTTCAGAAATTCTTTGCAATTTAAGTGAGAGAATCCATGAGAATAGTTTATAAATGCTGAGGATTATTCAAATGATGCTTGTTATTTTCATGGGTATTTGTAAGATCATACCCATCTATAAATACAGACAAAAAGACTTTTCAAAGACAACTTGTATTCTGGTACTTTTGTCTTTTGTAAAATTATTAACAATTTACTTTTATTTTGTTATATATTTATTTTTAATATATTTTGTTTATTGTAGTAAATTTGATATGAAATCCTATAAAAATGTGTTTAAATATAAAAAGTCCTCTTTAGGTATACATGTATATGAAACAAATAAGGTGTGTATAAATATGAAGCAAATATGATAAAATAACAAATCTAGGCAAAAGTTTCATGGGTTTCTTTCTGCTTTTCTGGATATTTGGAACATTTTATAATAAAAGTTGGCACAATATAAAGATATACCAAAGAAAATTATGAATATATGTGTATTTACACACCAGAAATACAACTATACAAACTTTCTCTGACATATTTGATAAACCTACATTCAGTGTTCATAATAAGATGTGTGGTGGGTGTGGGTGGGTTGAAGGGGATGTTAAGTA